ACGCAGTATGGGGTACACAAACACTTTGTTGTCTGAGTTGATCTTGAGACTTTCTCTCTTCTAACCAAAAGGAGTCCCAATATTCATTTGAGCAGGCAGCATTTCACTTCATAACGTTCCAGTTCCATTAGCGATCTTGTGGGACAAGCTTTGTCGATAATCCAACTGAATTCCACGGAGTTAGACGATGCATTTATGTATTATTTATTTAAACGCAGAAAAGCTTGGTACAATATGGCATCAAGAAAGATGCGCCACACAATAATAATAAAACAACATAGATTGAAAGTAAAAATATAAGTAGAAAACGGATAAAGAACTTCATCAGGAAGGAAAACAGTCAAGTTTGACAAGTTCAAACAGTATTCGTTAACTACCATCAGGAAGGGAAGAAAGAAGGAAATTGCAACACGTTCGCCATTGATTACGATTCTTGGCCATATCCGATAACGTTTCGAGCTATCTCTCAGACCCCAACCAGGGAGTCGTGACACACCAACCGATGCTAATCTAGCACAAATATCCTTCATCCCACGATGCCACGTCATGGACTGACCACCCCTCCGCCTTTTCCATCCCGTCCCAGGGCTAGCGAACAGAGACCTGTACGGAAGCCTCTGGGATGACATTCGCAGCACATGTCCAAGCCACCGGAGCCGGTGTTTCCAGATGACGACACTCAATGAATGGTGATCTCCACTGTGTTCAAACACACGCCGCCGAACCTCAGAATTACTCACGCGATGATACCATCGAACGCAAGCAATCCTGCGGAGACAGCGGTGATCGAACACGCAGAGTCGCCTCACATCCTCAGCTCGGAGAGGCCAGGTTTCACAGGCGTAGAGCAGCGCAGCCCGCACCGAAGCATTGTATACCCGACCTTTGACAGCCAGGCTAACGTCGTGACGGCGCCAGAGGTGGCTCAAGTTGATGTATGCCACCCTATCTTTCATTATACGGTTGGAAATCTCATCCGTCACCCCTCCGCCAGCACTCACACAACTACCCAGATACACAAACTTATCAACAACTTCAAGCGGTTCACCCGCAAGAGTGAGTGCAGGTACAGGCTCCTGCCAATCTTGTAACAGTACTTTGCACTTAGACGGTGCAAAGCACATACCATACTTACAGACGCTGATCGCCAACTAATTAAGTGCGATTTGGGCAGCCTGCATGCCATCGCACAGTAAGACGATATCGTCTGCATACTCGAGGTCGAAAAGTCTATCTCCAGGTAGCAGATCTACACCACCTTCACGCACATCCTTCAGAGCTGACTCCAGAATGTCATCGATGGCAAAGTTAAAGAGAAATGGAGAGATTGGGCAACCCTGTCTAACCCCACTGTTGGTTGGGAACAGTGATGAGAGTTGGTTGTATGCCCTCACTCTACCTGAGGTGTTTCTGTATAGAGCTTTCAAGATGTTAACAAATTTCTCAGGTACACCTCTCTCTAACAGACAGTTCCAGAGCACAGTTCTGTCCAACGAATCGAAGGCAGCCCTAATATCAGGAAACACAACGATCGTTGGCCTGCAATACGTGTGGCGGTGTTCCAACAACTGACGAAGGGTGAACACATGATCAATGCATCCACGACCTGAACGAATCCCAGCCTGCTCTTCGCGAATCAACCGTTCACGTATTTCGCACAGCCTGCGAAGCAAGACAGCAGCCAATAATTTAGACGCGACTGGTAGCAGACTGATACCCCTATGATTGTCACACGAATTACGTCGACTCTTTTTAAAGATGGGGACGATAATGGCTTCGTTCCACATTGATGGTACACTCTCAGTTTCCCATACCTTCCTGAACAACCCAGTTAGAGCCATTGTGAGAGTCTCGCCACCATCTTTAAAAAGAGCCGGGGGTAAATTGTCTGGGCCGGGCGCCCAGGCATCTTTTCAAACTGGTAATTGGCGTGCCATCTGCCTCACAGACCGTCTCGCTGACACCTTGTTTCTTGCTGCCGGTGGCTCGTACGAGTTGGAACAGCTTCCGACTGTTGCCAGATGCAGCAGATGACTCCATCTCACCCGCACGTTCTGACCACCAGGCTTTGCGGTCCTTACGTAAACACTGTCTTATCTTGCGCGTCAGCACCTTTCGCTTATTGCTGTATTCGCTGCCAGCCGGAATGGACCGGCGTTCATCCAGGAATTGTAAGGAACTCGCAGAAACCCATTGGTTTTTGGCGGAGCATTCTTTCAAGCCGCAAGCGGCTACATCCGCTCTTTGAATGGCACCTTCCAGATGAAGCCAATGTTCATCTATACTACTTGGGGGGCTGCTGGCAAGCATTGACTGTAACTCATTCTGATATTTCAAAGAAGTAACAGGTGCTACTAGTTTGCTCACACCAACGTTTAGACGACGCCTTTTATGAACCCCACCAAATCGCAAAACGAACTTGGCACACACTAACGCATGATCGGAGTCCAGGCATGTGCTCCAGAAGGAGCTACAGTCTTGTATGCATCCTCGCCACCAGAAACTGACAGCAATGTGACCGATCTGAGTCTGGTTCGCAGAGGGAGGACGCCAGGTAGCACTACGACGATGGCTGTGCCGGAAGTTGGTGCTGGCCAGAAATAGGTTGTGATCCGCGCAAAGCTGCAGAAGACAGTACCCATTATCTGACCTGCGACCATGTAGTCCCCATTGACCACCTAGACGATTCTCCTCTGAGCTCAGACGCCCGACCTGTGCATTCAAGTCCCCAGCCAGCACTACGATATCCCTCCGACACGCCTGTCTCAAGAGATCGCTAAGTTGGTGGTAGAACTCATCCTTCATTGCATCCAGGCTGCAATCCATTGGTGCATAGGCAGAGACAACAAATAGACACCGCCTATCTGGCCTACTACTCCTTACTTTCGTATAACCTTCCAGCCTCACAGCACATAAACGACTGTTAATGGGAATCCAGTCGAGCAGTGCAGCTTCGGCTCTAGCGCTCAGTGCGACGCCGACACCAGCTACGCCGGATGCCGACGCCACTGGGTCCCCGGACAAGCGCAGGTGGTACATACTACTAGAACTTCCAGATGGAGAGGATAATCAAAGCACTTCACTGGGATCTTGAATACGAGTCTCCGAAATGCAGCAGACATCGATAGCGAGGCTTTCCAATGTTCTTACCAACCCTGCCTGTTGTCCGATTTGCATCAGCGTCCGAACATTGTAGGTGGCCAGCTTGAACGCAGCACGCGGTTTCAGGATATCTGTGTTAGATGTCACATTGGGGACAACCATTTCGAGGGTTACTCAATAACATCTCGAAACGACACAGATAGGCTAGGAATCCAGACAAAGGCGAAAGGCTGTCGAAGGTTAAGAAGTCAAGGTGAGCAAAAGTAAAAAACAGGAACCTGAGTATAAAAGTAAAAGTAAGGTTGGAAGGACATAAGTTGCTTGAGGTATCATTATTTCTTGAAATCATTTTTGCGAGCGCGCGGTGAGCTTCCACAACAGCTTATTGCTTCATTTCATTTGTGTGAGGGCTGAGATACTGCCCGGGCGCCCAGACTGAAGCAGGTGGTTTTATTAAAGGACCACTCCCCCCACGAACCTTTGACTTGGAGTCTAATCCACAAGGCAGCGTCGGGCGCTGCGTTCCCATGGTTCCTAGAGACCCATATGGGTTCATACACCACTTGATCCGATTGGATTCTGGAGCCCATGTACCCCATGGTAACTGCTTTTAGTCTAACCGCTATCCAAACAACCTTCCTGACATGGTAGGACCTGCAGGGACATGAGTGCCAGCCAGTTTAGCTTGTTGGGTCACTGCGGCATTCAAGCCCGACCACCACGGCAAGGTAGCAGTTATCGGCCGGGTGGTTTCTTATTATCCTTAAATCTGATCTGGATTTTCTCCCCTAACCGAAATGGTTTCTCAAAAACCACTATATTGAATAACATGTCGTTGTTTCCCAAATGTGACATGATTTCTACCACTTCTTCCAAACATCTTGACCCAAATTCCTGTGGCTCTAATAGCTCTGTAGTTTTAGGGAAATTGTCTAGATACTCCTTTTTTATACAGAGATTACTACTGCATCCTTCAAATCAAGAGGAAACACTCTGTGTCAGTGGAATCAGCCGAAAATATAGTGCTCTATACAGTACTATATAGACCTTACTGCTTTATTCTTAGTATTAAACAAGTATAATATTTGAAATATTTGCACTAAACTAGTTCATGTAGCAGTATGGCTTTATATAATACAAAACGTGAGATGCTAGAAGTGAGTCGAAAGCAAACGTTGTCTGATCTAATTCTGATATGGTTTCTTACTCTGATACTGAATGAAGGAGGTTTGAATTAAGAGTTTCCTTAATGTCTTGAAAGACTAAAATTGTCCACTCCCAGATTACTGAAGTGATGAGAAACCGACAAAGTTCAAAGGTAGATGTGCTGATGATTGTGGTTCCACTCTGGTCACCTATTTATTTTAACAAAAATCAACCCAAATCTGTCATTTTAATCAAGTGAAAATCTTCAAGATAATGGTATATACCACTGGTTCATATGAGTAGCTGAAAACCACTCACATCAAACAGTAGTTGTCTCCAGCCAGATCAAAGTGATATAATGACTGCACAGTTATTTCATTTATATCTAGCTGACTTCATCAGCGGTGTAGTCTGTTCAACTCTACTCAGAGAGCTGAATCAGTTGAAAACACACTAACTCGTAATACATCGAATAGAATTCTTCACTTGAAAATTACAGTTCGAAAGTAAGTATTCAGATCACAGAATGTGACCTGATGGATATCATAAAATTGACTTATCGTTTGCACACCCGTTGCGCTATTTTATGTAATGCAATCATTCTTACACTTGTTGCGTTAGATCAGTATGAATCACACATTATCCACCGTTTTTTTTTCAATATTAGAATCAAATTGTCAGTCGATTGATCAAGAATTACACTATTAAGAAATTAATATACTTCGAGAGCAAAAATAAAATGCCATATGTGAATGTACCAAACTAAAAACACAGAACAAAAAGAATGTACATTGAAACAGCTAAGAGAAAAAGTTGAAGAAATGCAAGTCTTATATATGGAACACGATAATCAATTACGTGAACAAATGAGATCAGTGTTGATGAATTTAGAAATAGAACAAACTGCTAGGAAAGATGCATCTCTAGAGATTGGAAAGTCTAATGTTCAGCTGGATGTCAGTAAGAAATCTTACTATGAGGTAAGTTGTAGTGGTTTAATTGGTTTGACCTTTATGGAGAAACGGTTTGTACATTATTTCATTATTTATAAGAAGAATGATAGAATACTTTAGGATGAAATAACTAATGTTGTCGATAACTTAAGTAATCCGTTAAAACGTTATCAGTTTAGTTCCCCATTTGAAGGCATTCCAGATTACTTCAAAGCATTAATCATAAAGTAAAACACAACAACAAATGTTCAGTTACTCCGGATAGATATTTCTCCTGCTATACTACCATCAGAAAGCAAGTGTTCCCAATGTTTTTGGTATTTAAATCTTTGATAATAGAAGTTTGCACTGATGGTTACAGCAATATCTCAGTTAATCAATTACTACACTAACAGATTGGTGGTTGTCTTCAACTGATGTTTCAACGTAGATTTCATGATATACGAACAATTTGGCGAAGGTTTGTAGAGGTTTATTGAGTAGTTAAAACTTCAGAATATCCCAGATAGTGATATGAGATAATGAATGGTGTAATGTTACATAGATTTGTGGTTTTCAGGATAAAAAATGTATAGCATCACAAGAAGACTACTCATTTATAGCACAAGTAGCTAAAGCCTTAAGTTGTATATATGTTTCCTCATTTCTTATGAACATGAATGGCTTCTTCGCTGAACCATTTCAATTTTTGCAGCTTGAAGCGAGATTCAATCAATAAAGAGCTGTCTGGAGAATCAAGGGGGATAACTTCGAGGGGAAATCGCAGTTGAATGAAACAGCTGAAAGAGAAATAATTGAGTTGTTAGTAAATTTAAAATGTGATGTCAGTAAATCAAATACATCATCAATAGACTACGATTTACATTCCGAACCACGTATCGCTATTCTGCTGGAGAAAATAAAAAATATCCAAATGACAAACGATAATCTTCGAAGTAGACTGGAAAACCAGTCTCAAGAGATGGAGGTAATAACTTCATTTCTAAATAATTTGAATTTATATGACATTTTCTGTTTCATTATATCAGCAATTTATCTTTCGGTGCAATAGAGTTATAATTATTGTACAAATTTGGAGTTTTGAAATTTTATTACCACTTTGGAAGAATGCATAAACTTTATCAGTTGTCTGCTTCTGATCCGTTCTTTTACTCCAAACCGTATTAGAAATTACAAAGGAACTCGTCGTCTTAAAGTGAGACATTTTTAAGATGTAACTACTTTTGTATTCATCATCATCTCTCAAAATTATACAGGAATCAAACCCTAGACAAAAGATGCTAAATCCAATGAAGTGTTTCAAACCGTTAAATTTTATTTCATTCTTCCGGGTGAAACGATTAAATAAACTTTTCTGAATAAAGAGTTTCAAAATTCAATCGCTCTGAGATGCGGTTTCACAATCTGCTACGAAACAGTTCGAATTTAACTTTAAACATGAAGTAAACTAATTAAGCCTTGATCATACCAGCTGCTTCTTTGACTGTACCATTTGTAGGTTGTCAGTAGCTCCGGGAACAGCATCTTCATGTACACACGGCTTTCTGCTACACTTAATAGGTGAGAGATAATGACTCTACCTAGTTGTCAAGATGGAGTAGAATTCGAACACAACACTCGTTGGTTGAAAGCCAGGTGTTTAAGTCAGTGAACCACGTCTTCACATAACAATTAAATATATGCGTAAAACTTGGTCACTGTGGTAGTATGCAAATCCATATTACTTAGTTTATTGGAAATGTCGCTAGCCAGACATAGTACACAACACTCGATGCCTCAGAACACCAATGCCTGTAAGGATGGATGCTATGCTGAAGCTTGATGATCTCTAATACCGTTCCACCCCAAAATTATGTGAGGTAACACTCCTCAGTGTGGAAAACGACAGAGGGTTCAACACGCATTAGACATATGCTATCCGTGTCAGCTGATGTCCGCTCCCCACCTAACTCAATCAATGTGCGTAGTAAGAGTCAATAGTGAATGTTGCACTACCTTGGTGTTTATAAGTTTCCAGACCGTAGACGTTACGAATTATTTGTAATAATTCAAGCACCGAATCCGATTGAATCATTATAAATTATTTAAAATAATCCGGTCTTGACATAGATTCTGATAACCCTAAACACACGCAAAGCAGTGCAATTCATTCATGTATGTCAAGTTTATTTTAGGTGCTTTGAAAGAATGCTCACCTTCCACAATAACGTTCTAAGATTAAGAAAACGTCAACTACTATAATGAACTACAAGTTTAGACTACCTGCTGAACTTATTCCCCTGGCATTTAAGTATGAAATGAACGCACAGAACATATGACTACAATTGCATTTCTACACCATTGATTTCCTCTGATCTACGATGAAACAGCCTTTCGTCACCTGTTGTATCCTGCCAATCGACGATGAAATTCTGACCCGGAGCACTAGACTCCTTAGCTTGTTTATCCTTCAGTGAACGTGAGAAGTAAGACAACTGTAGCTAAGTTTAATACAGTTAACTGCATACTGGTATTGAACAATGAGGAGTGACATGTGAACCTAGGAAAATACCAACGGTTAGCATATAAAAACCCAAAGAATAGGAGCCGCATCTTTCCACTCCGATGGATATGGTACTAGTACACAATAAACGGAAAACACTAACGGGAGTTGGAATGCACTCTTTGTTTGCTCACTCGATATCAGTGTAAAGAGTAAGATAGCTTCTCATGACGTTTATTTGACTAAATTACATACAGTGATCGTTGAAGTATTCAAAGCTTTATAAAGTAAAGTGAGGTTTCTACATGTCATGCTAAAAATAGTAATAATCTGATGTGCCTATTTATTTTGTTTGTTATTGGAATCTTTCTATCACAAATGTCACGTTTAGTGCCCTTTTCTCTTGGACATCGACCGAAGTGTTTTTCGTTTTGTGAACTTTAGGGATATCGTATGTCGCATTTAGTGGTCTAATTGTTTCATCTGCAACTTGGTCAGCGTCCAGAGAATCCATTTGTTCTCCTGCATAATTGTCTGAAATCACTGGGCAACTAGGACGCCGAGCCGCTCTATTAGGAGTGCTACATCTCTGAGGATTTAATGCGAGCTCGTTCTTCTTCATATAAAGCTTTCTTCTGCTTACGATGGGTGAAATATCGAGTTCTAGAAACGTCGATGGCGCGTCGTGAACACTGTTGTTTTTCTTTATCTGCATTTGGCTCAGATGCTGGTTTCATTGACTTCACCAGACCACTGTTTGATTGCATCTAGATTTGTGAAGTAAAATAAAATACAAATATGAGGCGAACTAAACAAATCACAGTATATACGACAAGTATCACTATATTTAGGTGGTCAGAGATACTGTTAGTTTGTTGAATTTTGAAAGACTATCCTAACTCAACCTTCATCATAAAATTATAATATTATTATTTGCCACCATAGCCATGAGGGATAAACATGGTGGTCAAAAGGACAAAAATTTTAATTATATGATGAAGGTTGAGTTAGGATAGTTTTTCAAAATTCAACAAACTAACAGTATCTCTGACCACCTAAATATAGTGATACTTGTCGTATATACTGTGATTTGTTTAGTTCGCCTCATATTTGTATTTTATTTTACTTCACAAATCTAGATGCAATCAAACAGTGGTCTGGTGAAGTCAATGAAACCAGCATCTGAGCCAAATGCAGATAAAGAAAAACAACAGTGTTCACGACGCGCCATCGACGTTTCTAGAACTCGATATTTCACCCATCGTAAGCAGAAGAAAGCTTTATATGAAGAAGAACGAGCTCGCATTAAATCCTCAGAGATGTAGCACTCCTAATAGAGCGGCTCGGCGTCCTAGTTGCCCAGTGATTTCAGACAATTATGCAGGAGAACAAATGGATTCTCTGGACGCTGACCAAGTTGCAGATGAAACAATTAGACCACTAAATGCGACATACGATATCCCTAAAGTTCACAAAACGAAAAACACTTCGGTCGATGTCCAAGAGAAAAGGGCACTAAACGTGACATTTGTGATAGAAAGATTCCAATAACAAACAAAATAAATAGGCACATCAGATTATTACTATTTTTAGCATGACATGTAGAAACCTCACTTTACTTTATAAAGCTTTGAATACTTCAACGATCACTGTATGTAATTTAGTCAAATAAACGTCATGTTTTCAGTTAGAAGCTGTCTTACTCTTTACACTGATATCGAGTGAGCAAACAAAGAGTGCATTCCAACTCCCGTTAGTGTTTTCCGTTTATTGTGTACTAGTACCATATCCATCGGAGTGGAAAGATGCGGCTCCTATTCTTTGGGTTTTTATATGCTAACCGTTGGTATTTTCCTAGGTTCACATGTCACTCCTCATTGTTCAATACCAGTATGCAGTTAACTGTATTAAACTTAGCTACAGTTGTCTTACTTCTCACGTTCACTGAAGGATAAACAAGCTAAGGAGTCTAGTGCTCCGGGTCAGAATTTCATCGTCGATTGGCAGGATACAACAGGTGACGAAAGGCTGTTTCATCGTAGATCAGAGGAAATCAATGGTGTAGAAATGCAATTGTAGTCATATGTTCTGTGCGTTCATTTCATACTTAAATGCCAGGGGAATAAGTTCAGCAGGTAGTCTAAACTTGTAGTTCATTATAGTAGTTGACGTTTTCTTAATCTTAGAACGTTATTGTGGAAGGTGAGCATTCTTTCAAAGCACCTAAAATAAACTTGACATACATGAATGAATTGCACTGCTTTGCGTGTGTTTAGGGTTATCAGAATCTATGTCAAGACCGGATTATTTTAAATAATGATTCAATCGGATTCGGCGCTTGAATTTATTTATTTATTTTGATTTACAGCTTGATTCCACACCGTATTTTCAGTACAAGTGTGGAATTTTCAGCATGGATATCGGTAGCCCAAATTCAGGCCGACCATAGATATCGGGTGTGCGTCGGCAAAATAAAAAAACAAAAAAATCAAAATAAAAACCAACTGAAAAAGACGAAATCTGACTTTGAATTGGAGCAATCATAGTAACAACCACAGCGACCCCGAATAGTCGATCAGAACTCAGTTGCAAGAAAATCGCACAATCGTTGAAAAATACGCTTGGAGATATCGAAAGCTTGACATTACATCGCATAGTTGTAGCTTATGTGTTGTAAGAATATCTCCAAGTCAATACAAAGATGATCTATAGTGAAATCGTTCAATGTGCGACATACCCATTCATCCAG